ATATATACACAATATGTATATTGTATATATATATTGTGTGTGTATATATATACATATATATATATATATATGTATATACACACACACAATTAGCCGGGCATGGTGGTACATGTATACATACACACGTGCGCACACACACACAAACACACACACATATATATACATTTTTTTTTTTACTAGAAATGGGGTTTCGCCATGTTGGCAGGCTGGTCTCGAACTCCTGACCTCAAGTGATCCACCAACCTCAGTCTCCCAAAGTGCTGGGATTACAGATGTGAGCCACGGCATCTGGTCTCCAAGGGTTTTTAGGAGTTCTGTGCCAGGAACTGGACAGAGACCATGTCTATTTTTTATCATAAATCACAATGCCACAATGATTAAAAAAAAAAAAGTATATAACAATAAAAGGTGACATGTAATATGTGCCTAATGAGTGTTTCTGTAAAGGGTTAGCCCAGGAGGACGTGGTTACCCAAACCCTGCATATTCCAAGGGTCTTCAGGACTGGCCCTCACTGGTTCCTAGGGTATGCATCCAGGCCCTTGAGTGTCCTACCTGATGAGGGTGTCTTTGTGGCCCCAGACCTTGGGATACATCATATTAGTTTCACTTCTTGGGGCTGGCGACTGAGTAGCTAAGGAACGTTATATGGGTACTGCATGACTATGTAATCGATCCCCAATGAAAACTCTGGACACCAAGGCTTAGGGGGGCCTTCCCTGGTTGGCAGCACTTCACGTGTTGTCACACACTGGTGCTGAGAGAATTAAGTGCTGCCCAACCAAGGTCACACAGCTGGCAAGAGGCACCAGTGGCATCCATGTGCTTGGCATCCTGACCCCTGCTATGGCACTGCCTTCCCCATCCAGGCGGCCCCCCAGTACCCCTTCATTTCCATCTCCAGGGGACAGGCTCTGCCCTGAGGAAATGTTATATCACCCAGGGCAGGGCCCCAAGGAAGCCAAGAGCTCTCGGAGTTGGGGCGTGCTAGGATTAGCCCACTGGACCACCTTGCCCAGAGCAAAGAGCGGTGGAACTGCGTATCCACCAGCAGTGTCCTCAGTGAGGGTAAAAAACTTGGCACAGTGGGGCTGGCACAACCCAGGAAATGAAGGAACAGGCAGGAGGGAGGGGCGGGTCCACAGCCTTTCTTACTTGGAGGAATCCCTATGAAAGGACAAGCTGGCAGGGCACGGTTGTTCATGCCGCTAATCCCAGCACTTGGGGAGGTCGAGGCAGGTGGATCACCTGAGGTCAGGAGTTCAAGACCAGCCTGGCCAACATGGCAAAACCCCATTTCTACTAAAAAAAAAAAAAAAAAATTAGCCGGGCTTGGTGGAGCAGCTACTCAGGAGGCTGAGGCAGGAGAATCACTTGAATTCGGGAGGCAGAGGTTGCAGTGAGCTGAGATAGTGCCACTGCACTCTAACCTGGGCGACAGAGCAACTCTGTGTCAAAAAAAAAGAAAAAAAAAGCGTCTGGCAGTTCCAGGGTTCTCTCCACAGGGTACACTGGGATTCCAGAGGGTTCCAGAGGATGCTGGGGACTTGTGTCCTGGTTGGGTGCTCGAGCCCAGCAGTTTGTGGGTGCAGCACTGGCCTTCCCCAGTGTTCTTGGGCTGGTGAGGTCTTCACCCCCTAAACACTCCCTTAGACAGCTCCCTAAGTCAGCTGCCTTTGCTCACACAGGGCCTGGCACTCAGAACAACAAATACAGCGCCCTGAGTTGGGGCGGGCCTCCCACGGCTGCCTGGGCCATCCCCTCTTTGAGACACATTCAGCACATCACGGAGTTCCTGTAAAACTGATCCCACGCCACAGCATTGAAGCTGTCATGGGGACATGGAGAAGTGGATTTACCCCATACAGGAAATGGAGTAAGTTCCCACTAGACCTCCCTGATCCACCAGTGGCCTCATTTTCCTCCTCTTCCTCTTGCTTGTTGCTGTTATAACCTCTCAAATCTCTTAATGGCCTTGAGCAGATCAGCTCAGACCCCAAGCTTCTACCCTCCCTTTAGGACCATGCTGCCTTTAGAAGGCAGTTTGGAGAGCTTGCCCTCTGGGGGTGTCACTTCCTGGGATACACAGCTCAGCGGCTTATTTAATATTCCTCCAACGAAAGTGGATTTCCTTGGTTGGTAGGAGTATATTCTGTGCTCAAGAAAAATTAGCTTTTCTCCATTTTATTACAATGAAAAAGGATAGCCTGGTGGTTAGGAGACTGCGCTTTGGCGTGAAACATCTGCATTCACATCTGTGTTCTGCATTGATCTGTGGAATCTTGGGCAAGTTCTCTATTCTCCCTAAGGCTCTGTTTTCTCTTCTGCAAGATGGAGATAAAAATCCCTACTTTTAGGCCAGGCATGGTGGCTCATACCTGTAATCCTAGCACTGTGGGAGGCCAAAGCAGGTGGATCACCTAAGGTCAGGAGTTCGAGAACAGCCTGGCCAACATGGTGAAACCCCATTTCTGCTAAAAATACAAAAATTAGCTGGGCGTGGGGGTGGGTGCCTGTAATCCCAGGTACTCATGAGGCAGGAGAATTGCCTGAACCTGGGAGGCAGAGGCTGCAGTGAGC